GCAAGTATTTAAAATAAGAACCTCCCAGTCTTTATTTTTCAACTGGAGGACTTAAAAAACGTAATTAAAATGTAAAAATTAAAAACTTGAAAAACATACATGTTTAGATGTTACATGATGTAACCTGAAATTTTGTTTATGTTAAACACTCCTCACTCCTGCTGGGTGATTTATTGCTTTTCGTGGTAGTTAGATATATTTCAAAACTATCAAATAATAAAATTAAATGAAAAAGGATGTAAACTGTTACATGTATGAGGTTGTTTAGGATGAATAGTTGTAATAATCTGTTACAATCTGCAGTCATTTTAGAAAGAAAAAAAAGGATGATTTTGATCTGATCAAATGGAATGAGTCTATATAGTGTTAGGGTAGAAAAAGTAACAGATCAAATATAAATTTTACTGAAACAACTTAACTGATATTCATGTAGGAGGTTCTAGAAGTTAAGTAAATTAAATATGAAAACTGTTAGATGAAAAAGCATTTTTATTACAAACATGAAAAGCATCTTGGACTCAAACTACAAAGAGCCTGAGTCAAAATAGCAAAAGTCAATTTAGAGACAAATTTTTGGTACAAAAATTTTATTTAACATTTTCCTAATCTGAAAATTTATTTCTGATAGATACTCACTTCTACACACTATATCCATCATGTGGATACCACTAATGTTGAACTAATATCAACGTACAATTCGCATGTTTAACATGAACTTGCTGGTACATGATGACATCATCCTGTGAAAATAGCCCTCCACCAGTAGGAAGGTGACGCAACCTTCATGAACAGTGACTCCCCTTAAGCACTTGTACTTGAAATAATTCCATTCTTAGACAAGTCAAGAAGGAAGTGCAATGGAAGTAGAGAGATCAGGTGGGAAGTGTGAGAAGGTGAGTACTTATTGTAAAAAATTTTCAGAGTAGGAAAATGTTAACTTCCAAGACACTATCTCACTTCCTCACATATAATAACTAGAATCTCTTCTGGAATTGGTGGAGGAGCCAGTGCAAAATCCAAACCTAGACGAGCTCCCTTCAGAAAGTCTCTAAAGGAAAAGCATATGGAGTGTGACACCTGAAGGTAAGGGCTCCATAGAAGCACACTTGTGGGAAATCACATCTCATCTTAATCAGGGTAAATTCTTTGCCTGGAATGTAAAGGGGGGGGAGGCAAATGAGCCCCAAGTGTCACATGAATGGGAGGAATGAGAAAATGACCACCCAAGCACTTACACACAAGTGGTTGGGGAGCCAAGAAGTGTAAAGTGGTTATGATACAATCAGATCGTACAGTGTATCTCACCTTGATTCAACTAGACAGACAGAAACAGGGTGACAAACATGTCCTTCTGCAGAAAAAGGGCATACTAGCTGTTTAAGGAGTGACCCACACTACACAGACACTATCTCCACCAACCTGCTTCCTACATTTTTTCATGATAGTCCATGGAAAAGTATGGTAAGAAATCAGGCAAATGAATGCTTTAGTATACCATGAGAAAATCTCTAGTGCTCTTGTGGAACACTCCATCTTGACAGTAGGCACTGGTAGAGTCACGGCTGATGCATTGAGTGCTTTCTGTTACCCCTGACCCAATGTAAATTTTGAAAAATATGCATAATCTGGGAGGCAATATCAACCACCTGGTGGGATTTTGTTAGGCCAAAAGGGAGAGAAAAAGAAAACATACTTACCCTTTTCAAAGACAATATGTTGATTGAAAAGTGACAACCGTGGGGAGTTGAAATCCTTCATGAGATGAAACAGCCAGATGGCGAAGGTAAGGAGCGATGAATGTGAGTGGAGTTATCTACATGCCAGACTGAGGGATCTCATCGAAGCACTGGCAAAAACGAGAAGCAATAGAGTGAGACAGAAGAAAAATTTGAAGCAACAAAACTGAAACAGACTGCAAGCATCAACATCCAGGAAAGAATGCACCAACTGTAAAAATTAATGGACCTATCCAGTAAGGGTACTAGGCAAGAGGTCACTGGATGAAGATGGTTTCCAGGATAGAAACAGATTATGGTGGGGACCCTGAAAAGAAGAAGTTTGTGCCGATTAACATGAAACAGCCTGAACCAAACACAGTAGTTGATCTGGGTCTGAATGATTAGAAATGTGAGAAACAGAAGGAAGATAAGAGAAAAAGAACAGTCACCTTCCCAAGCAGCTGAAGTCTCAGGAAGAAAGGACCAGTACAGGTAAAGGAGTAAATAAATGCAATGGGATAGAATGCAAGAAGCATCAATAGCATAGAGATCTGAATGATAATAACCACAGGCGAGAAGGAATAATGTCTTAAAAGAAAATTGGTTTCATAAGCAAGAAGCCAACAACTGGAATGAGGCATGTGTAAGAGCATGCAAACAACATTAAGGTCCCAGCCAGGCATGGGAGTCAGGTAAGAGGGTCAGTGAAAAAAGAAGGATCAGAACAGGGTGGAGAGGATAAGGGTAGAAAACACCCTATGGCAATAGAGAAGGCAAAATGCAGTAGACAAGGCTGCCCAATAATCACCAATGGTGAAAACCAACAAACCGTGGTCAAACAACCAAGTGAAAGAGGCAGAAAGGTGGGTCACAATAAGACAGTTGGGAGGAAGGGAGCTGCAGATGAACCAAAGATGAAAAACCCTCCACTTCTGTTGATAGACAGATAAAGTGAAAGGACAACAGGATTGAGATAAGAGAATGCTAAATGATTGGTAAGCCCAGAACTGCAGGCAATGGATCAAACAAATCCCATACAGGAAAATGAAGACAGAATACCACTGGATGAAAAAGGAAAATGTGAAACTGAAGCAACAGAAGAGACACAGGGTAGAGGAAGTTGGGTCTTGACATCAGCCAAAGAAATGAGAAAACCAGAGCTGAGCTGACCAAAAACGTGCCACTAATAGGACCCAACAGGAAGTGTTGTGTATCAAGGCAAAAACTTGAAGGAGGAGACAAAGAGGAGTATAGTCACACAGAAAAAGGTGAAAGTGGTCTTTGCTGAGAGCTTTGACAGCCAGACCCGAAGGATGAGGAACTTAGGATCAGAAGAGAGGAAGCTTGAAGTTGAGAAGAGTAGCAAAGGCATCCATGAGGAGTGTGCCCAACTGAGAGCATACCCAATGAAAAATGTGGGGGTGGAGATACAACTCTGTGGACAGAACACAATCCAGCTGAAAGAGGTGATCTTCTACCAGGTTCAAAAACCCCAGCTTTTGATAAGTAATAAGAGGAACTGGTTGGGAATGAGCTCTGATGAGGAGGTCCAGTGCCTGAAAGCAAAAAGTCCTGGAATCAACATTCCCTTTACAGAAACAACTTTGGAATTGTTAGTGTGAATTATAGTTAACTGATCCACCAGAAGAGATAGGAAACTGGAACATGATTTCTCTAACACTAATCTAATACTATATGCAGAACATGTGTATGACTTATTATTATATCAAGGTTTGCAATGTAGAAATAAACATCAAAGGCAGTTGTTATATAAACATTAAAAGATAAGTTGTAGTTTTCTTTAAAATGTTGCACATTGAATGAGTTAACTTTAAAATTATCATACACTGAGATGTAAGGTAAGCTACTAGAAAGTTTTGTATGTTTGTGTTTATTTTTAGAGCAGATCCACATTGGGCTATTTGCGGTGTCCACTGCAAGGAAATGAGCCCAGATTTTGATGTCGTAAATCCATAGACTTCACTGGTGGGACTATTAAAAAAGCAAAATTTTGTCTTTTACACTGTAAGCAATTACAATATTCATTGTTTACTTTCAATGTAAAATACATGTTGACTAGATTAGCCTCTGGAACAAGGTTTTGGAACAATTGCATTTACCTTCATCAGACTATTGATTATCAAATCCTTAAAAAGTGTTTCAATATTATAATAAACCATCAAAAAACTGATTAGATGCATAAATTCAAGACTAGGACTGTTTTTAAGAAGTTCAAACTTATATTATGAATATTCATTAATGTTTAGATTAGGTTTCCTGTATCAATTAAATTGTTTTAGTTTTCAACAAAAAACAAACCCAAACCAATTTTTCTATAACTATAAAATGTTACTAGTGTTATAACAATTAGGACTTATTATCTGACATTAATATCAAAATATAAATAGCTAGTGCTGTACCAATTTAGCATTTCACCAATAAATCATGAATTTTTTGCCCCACAATAAAAGTATCATATCATGACCACTGTATTGTAGATTCTATGATACGTAAGCCTATCATTACCAGCCATCCCCAGGAGAAATATGTACTTGTCTACCAACACAGCTGGCATGTTCAATCCCTGGCCACAACTTTGCTGCAGTGTAGAGATAAACTTGATCCCATCAAACCAAAAATCACTGAAATACGTCCTCTACCAACATACTAGCAATGCTGGACTCTACATTAAAATTTTATTCCCCTAGTTTTCTATTAGAAACTAGCCCAATCAGCAAGTACGCTACTCTACTAAAAGAGTTTTCTTAACCTCAATCAACAGTATTTGTGCCCAACAGGTTTCTCTTGCCCCACAAGATATAAATATGCTTACATTTTTTAAGATAAACCTGGAGCTATTTTGAAGCCTATTTTTCTAATAATGAGAACAATTTTTTTTCATGATTTGAAGCCTATAAAGTCAAAATAAAATCTTATTGAAAACCAGATTGATTTGCTTGTAAATTATTCTTAGATTTTGGACAAATAATTTTATAATTGTAAAAATAATCTCATGCAATTTTGAGATAAACAATAAGAAATATATATTTTAATATTAAAGATTCTTTAGTACAACCATAATATGACTTATATAATGCTCAAATCAACTGATATTGTGATACTTGTCATATCGTGGCATAACGTACAGATCTATAACTTCTATTAACTGTCATTTTTATGTTTTATATATTTTGTTAGGCTTTGCATCGGTGAAGAGTATTATTTTAATGGTTTAGAATATATACATTAATTACTAGATTTGTACAAAAAGAAGTAAATTACCTCACTACATTATTATGATCAAGTTCTTTCAACAAGGCTATTTCCCTAATGGCTGTACTTGGCACTCCTTCAGATTCCCTGAAATTAACCAAAAAACTTATAATTGTACAAAAAAAATTAAACAATAGTAAATTATTTAGAGATTCCTTTTAAACAGAGCTCAAATATTTTGTTTAAAACTATCACAGATATGTACATTTTAACTTTTCCTTCTGAGCAAAACCTACATAACAACTTACTATGAAATTTACTAGTACGACAACTGTTTAAATTAGTTATAGATTAAAGCTACCAATGAACACTTTGAGAATTATAATTATAATAACAATACAATTGACAAACATTTAAAACCAAATTTACTTGAAAGTCTAGCAGCAAGCTCTATCTCAAGTAGATAAAACTGGAATTGTCAACACAAAGATCTGGTGTAAATGTTGATATTTTGATTAGCTTATAAAAAAAAAGAAATATTCACAAGAGGTGAAAGTTTCTGCTTTTGAAAAGGGGCATTGCAGTAACGTTTTGTATCTTGATAATCCAGGATGTACCACATAAAAGAAATACAGTGAATCAGGCTCATGTGGAATCAGTAGAAAAGTTACGAAGAGATTATAAAACTGTCTGAATGAAGTTAAAGGATGGTGATAAAGATGCCATAGTTTCATAGCATATGAACAAGAACCATACGATACTCTAAGACTGTCCCGTCACACCAACCCATAAGAAAAAAAACTTTTGAATCTACCCTTTATTTTCCAAGAAATTATAATTCCTCTTTTAAAATATTTTTAAGGTTTTAGCCTCAACTACTGCTGATAGCAATTCAGTCTATAAGTTAATCCTTATGCTACAAAAATAAAACTACTTAACTGAAGCTTAGTCTGTATTTTCCAAACCTTAAGCTTATTTCCTCTCATCCGTATTGTCTTCAGAATTCAGTAGAAAGAAATAAAGACCTCTATCCTATCGATCTCATGGAGTTGTAAACTTCACTAAGGTCATCTCTTACAATTCCATTACCAATCCCCATAAGATACTTCTTTCATCCCTGTAGCCCTCCTCTAAACCAATTCCAATAAGGTAATATCCTTTCTTAAACATGGAGATCAAGACTGTACACAATATTTCAAGTAAGGACTAACTATTGATTTTTATAGATGTAATACCCTGTTTCCACTTGTAATCAGTATGTTTATCAATACAACATAACATTCTATTAGCTTTACTATTGACAACACAGTACTGTTTTGATAGCTTCAAGGACTTGTGTACCACTATGCTAACATCCTATTCTTCAATTATGCTATTGAATGGATTCCTACCTGTATTAAACATATGGTTTAACTTATGACCAAATGCATTATTTTTAATTATCTATAATTACAGATCATTCCTCGACTATTTTCTGACTTACCAATTAATCCAAGTCACTATCAACATCCTCAATACAGCTAAAAATATCCAAAAATTTAATGTCTTCAGCAAACAATGTGCCCTTTTCAATATCATTATTATAAATAAGAAAAAGCAAAGATCCAAGCATTGATCCCTGAAGGGATTAGTTTGAATGAACTCCATTAACAACAACCATTTGCTTTCTCTCACTCAACCACCCTTCACTCCTATTACTTAGACTTTCCCTATTCCACACCAGTGTAATTTTTTTAGTTAATCTTCAGGGAGACAACATATCAAAAGACTTTTGATAATTAAGTATACTAACCTCACACCGTTTCCACCAACTTCATAAAAACTTAAGATACTAGTAATGCAAGCTTTACCTTTAACAAATTTTTATTTGCTCCAATTTATGATATCATATTTCACTCTATGATTTTGCAAATTACTTTTCCAACACTCTAAAACTTTTCCTACTACAGGCCTATAGTTTCTTGGGCTTATCACTCCCTTAAAAATAGCCATAGTTAACAACTCTACAATCCTCACACACCTACATGCTTTCTATTGACCTAACACAAAATGAAAGAGAGAGGCTTTCATATCTGATCTTTGGCATCCATTAAAACCCTAGGGAAAGAGCTGTCTGGTCTAGGTGCTTTATCTATTACTAATCTCTCAAACAATTAAAGTCTATATAATTTATATCATTTCTTATATTTTCTTAACAAAATGAGAGGAAATAGTTAAAAGCTCAGCTATTAATCCATCTTCAACAAAAAATTTTCCATCAACATCTTTTAAAAGTAACATGCTGAAAACAAATATTGACATAAGTTTTAACAGTATCAGCCCTTTTAGATTTAGATTTCTTTTTTCCTTAAACAAATCCCTTGTTTTTCCATGGTTCTGCAAATCATTCATCCTATCTGTCAAGTTAAATTTATTAAACTTGTAGCACTTAATCCATTTATCTCCTTTATGCTTTTAGTAAACAAATTAGAATTGTTCATCCCTGTTACCCTTTTCCTCTTATACAGAACACTTCTAGTTTGAATCAAAAGCAATTTAATTATAAAAATTTTCTAAATCTAATCCACATAACCTTTTATCTCATTACCTCAAATCACTAAAGATAAATCTCGTCTCACGGCCTCAAACTGACTTTTGAAAGTTAACATCTAAAGTTTAACTTTTCATGCCTCAACATACTGACAAAGATCAAACACAATTATACATGGATTACTTTTCCTCAAATGTTCACCCCTTCAACAGTGGTTGAAAATAAATAATTAAAGTGGTATACTTGCTGACTGGTTCCTTGAGCGTAGAAAACCAGCCTGAATCACTTCCAGGAAACTTTCTCTCACTACTTCACTTCCTATAATCTCAATCATATGCTTACGATTAAAGCTTCTCACATCAGTATCCTCATTAAATACAGCTCTGGTCTCCTTATATGTTGGATATACAATACTGTTTTGTGTAAGAGTTATTATTTAGTTCATTTAATGACTATTTAGTTTTCATAACAAGAGTGTTAAAGTTAATGATTTTAAAAGTGATAGTTATGACAAATTTTGTTACGTAACTTGGCATGAGTCGTACGTTGCGTATGCAGATTTATTGTTGTAGTAGGTTTTCATAATATTGTTGATGTCATCTTACTGAAAGCTTCTAAGTTTTTCTTGTTGTGTGTAATATTGTTGTCACTAGAGATTTTTCTGTTACATGTTAAAAATATTTGCAGTTACAGAAAGAAAGAGAGGAAAGCAAGTTAAGCGAGAGTTAATTAGATAGATCTAAACTGACCTAAATGATTGGCAGTTTAGCCATGATGAGCAATTTCTGAAAATGTTAGTAAAGTAAGTCAAAACATTAAGTTAGTGAAAGTGAAGTTAGACTGTGTGATTGTCAGTTTAGCCATAACGGGCAAAATTTAAAGTGGTTTTACAGTGGTATTGTAATAACAGAGATAAAAGATAATAATTTGTCCTGTCAAAGGGTGTTTTAAAGTAACAAAACCCACCTGTGTGGACTTTGAAAAGGAGACAATTATTTCAAGTTCTGTATATAATTGTGGTAACCCACGGGGTAATGTAAGTGAATTTATCACAGATTGTATAGTAAGAAATGGAGTAGAAAAAAAATAATTTGTCTTGTAAATTGGATTCTAAAGTAATTGAATCAATCTGTGTGGATTTTTGACAAGAAAAAATAATCATTTAGTTTTAAATACAACTGTGGTATCCTATACTGTAAAGAATTCTTGTACATACATTTTACTTGTTTTGAATATATGATTTTAAAACAAGTGGATTGTGTGCTGTCTGTTTATTGTTTGAATTTATTGCCAACAAGTCACAGACACCTACTGTAAAAGAATCCTAGCCCATATTTAAAAACCTGACATTATAAAATTTCTCACTGCCATTATAATGTCTGAAATATTAATAAATTTCACCCTTCAATAACTTGTTTAGGAATATTTTTCTAAATTTTTGTGAACATTATCTGCATGTAGTGTGATATTCTTGTTAACCGAGTGTTAACTAATCCCTTTACTCAGGTGAAGCTCGATTATATATCAACAGCTAGAAACTCTTATCACTTTGGCCATGTCTGACACTCATGGGGAGGAGCAAGCCCATCTTGAGGGGCAGTGCAGATTTTTGTACAAATCAGTATGAGTTTTCTCACCTGTAAATGTTATGTGGAATAATCAGAGACATATACAGCATTGAATTCAGGTACACTGACCTTTTAATATTTCTTCTTAACTTGAACAGAAAATTAAGAGTTCCCTTTGTCTTTATCCTGTTTGGACATGCACAAAAATCCTTCCCAAACCATACATTCACTACAGAACAAGGATGGCAGCTAGTCTGTTAAATAGAAATGCTACACAATAACTGTGAATAAAGGCTTTGCTTTACTTGTTAATTTGTGTGCTTTTCTCTCCTTTGCTGTCCATGATCAAATTTGTTTTCTGCAATATATTACCATAAAATTGCATTTTGTAGAAACTTCTAAGGTTAACATCTTCCTTACCTGAAAATGTTTTTCCAATAGAAACTCACCTCTTACACAGAAAGCTATCTTCCCCATGCATCTATCTTAGAGATTTGCATGCCATTAGCCTTCAAGCAACTCCCACCTAAACTCATGAGATTTCTTGTGAATTGCACTACTGCATAATTAAGTTATTATGCAACAAAAGCCATCCACCAATAGAAGGGCAACACAGTCTCCCTGCACACTAGCTAGGACTATGATTTTGCACTCGTGATTTTCATTTTATGATGAGGTAAAGAGTACTAAGTTGCACAGAAGTGGGGAGGAAGGGTGGAAAGTGTGTGAGAAAGGTCAATATCTATCAGAAGTACATTTTCAGGGAAGCAAAATGTTAACTTCCGAGATGACACACACCTCTTCACATAGGAAGCTAGAGTCCCACACTGATATGGTGAAGGAACCAGTGCAAAAGTTAGCTATATGAACTCCCTTCAGAAAGCAACGGAAGGAAACCCATGGCAGGGGTTCCAAAGGGGCATACTCGTGGGAGGTTGCATCCAAGGTACACTCTTCACCCAGATTGAAAGGGAGGAAGAAGCAAACAAGCCCCATGTGTCATGGTATTAGTGGATAAGAAAATGGCTGTCCAAGTACTTGCATACAAT